TTTTGTTGTTATATGTTTGTTAATCTTTTGTTTATTTTTCATATGGAGAAAACAATGAGGCCATGATGACGCTGTTGTAGGATGGAAGTCTTTCTGGCGAATGCAAATTGATGCTAACACAAAAGGACAGGAGGAGAGATGAATTGCTAACTTGGATGAATATGACTTATTTCATTTTGATTTCAAGAGTATATTATATTAACCTGTGTGTATGTGTATGGTTGTTGGACGTTCCTCCAAATGAACAAGAACTATCTGCATTCAATAGAAAATATATTTCTGATCATTATAAATCTTCAATATGATGTATCACCAAATCATATTTATTTCTGATGTTTATTTTTGTTAGGAAAATTTGTGTGTTCTTTGCTTTGTCCAAATAAAGTAAGATAATCTAATGAAACATGGATAGCTGCAGGGCGAAGGCTAAGGCAGCTGGGAGATCTATATTGATGTAACCTTAGAATAATAACGCATAGAATGATAGTTTCATACAAAACGAACTATCACAAGTGAGGCAAAAATCAAATTCATGTAGGCGTAAGCAACTTGTATTTACGCTCGTCGGCACGCACACAAATATACAAATAATGATGCCATGGAATAACATTTCCCTCAAAAGTGGGGAAATTGTATCTTGCTTAACTCATCGTTAAGTTAGAGATGCCTACAGATTTGCTTGATTTTGTCGATCGTTACTGTCGATCGGTTGCCTACAGATATGCTCGATTTTGTCGATCGTTACTGTTGATCGACAACGTCAAGTGACAGAAATTTTCAAAAATTTATTTTTGTTAATCCTTATGGAAATGGCATTTATATCTGAATACACGAAGGCAGACACGACTTTTCTCATTTCTAAATCCGAGATGGCGGACACGTCTTTTCAAATAAATGCAATATGGGAACCGTTTTCGAGGTATTCGAGGTGCTCATCATGAATATGGCATTTATTTCTAAATCCAAGATGGCGGACACGACTTTTGAAATAAATGCAATATGAGTATCATTTTCGAGGTATTTGGGGGTGCTCATTAAGAACATGGCACTAATTTCTAAATCCAAGATGGCGGGCACGATTTTTCGAATAATGGCAAGTTGGGTGTCGTTTTCAAGGTATTTGGGGCTGCTCATTCCGAATATAGCACATATTTCTAAATTCAAGATGGCGAACAATTTGAAGAAGAAGAATTAGAAGTCTTGTCCGCCATTATGTATTCAGATATACATGCCATTTCCTTATGGTTTACCAAAAATACATTTTCGAAAATTGTTGTCAACCATCTTGGATTTAGAAATTAATGCTACATTCGTAATAACACTCTAAAACTCCTCGAAAACGTCTATAATTCTCAATCGTTACTGTCGATCGACAATGTCGAGCAAATCTGTAGGCACCTTATTAAATACTACCCAATTTTTATTTAACTCATGTATGAACAAAAACCTACAAGCGAGTTTAAGTGCGACTATCGAATTTGAATATATAAATAGCTTGATATTATCTGTGGGTATGTTTACATGAAAAGTACACGATAACAATTAAGAACCTGAACCTGAAAGTTATTTATACACGATTTTGGAGAAGTGACGATGACTTTTTAGTCAGTGTTAGTTTCCTGAAATGATTTTACTTAAGAACTTTTGAGTCTTGGCAAGACAATTTTTTTAAATGAGTGTATGATGAACAAGAATAATGATTTTTCACATGAAACTAATGAAGGCAAATACTAAATATATTTCGTAAAAATTATTTTGAAACAGAATAGCAAAATGGGGAGAAAAAACCCGTTACTTTCCAACATTTTCGTATCTTGTTGCAACGAAATTAATTTTCTGTTTTAGTGAATATTTACATAAAAATACAAGTTGAAACGCGTTACTTCCTTATGGAATGTGATGTTAGTGTCTATTTTATATTTGTCTGATCTATTTTTAAACCCAATTACCGCACATTTCGTCATTTTTAGCAAAAATTTTTGAGCTACTCGCGGTGCAACTTGACCTTGAGCACTGACAGCCCGCTCGCTCGTGTAGGCCTATAGGGCGCCCTACAATTTGCCTCACTTAACGTATGCGGGCTAGGTTTCTATGCGTTATTATTCTAAGGATGTAACCCAGTGAGCATCCGATGGATGTTCAGGCCCGAGATGTCGTCTTAACAGCATAATACGCGTGTAGATTGTTATTTAATTGGAAATGTGGTTTTTATAATGAGATGTATAGATTTTATTAAGATTGTGGTAGAATTCAACCACGGAAGAAAAAAAGAATGGAAATGGCATCAAGCAACATTTGTATCAAAACCGGTGTCGCCACACGCACACATTTGAAAATGTAATCTTACATTAGTACTAAGGTAACATAATTTTAATTGGTTATAAATTATCAAACGAAAATAGACAATAATAAAAAACTATTGGTAAAAAAAATTTAAACGTATTTGGATCTAATAAGGTTTTATTATTACTAGTCACATAAAAGCTAAGAATCTTATGAACATAAACTTCTTGGAACAAAAGCAAAAAGTTGACAATGTGGGCTACAGATAGGGACGTGACATTTAATTGATATCGACATTATGTTTCATAACTAGCGGAATATTGAACTAGGCATTGCTTTATACTTGGTATAATTAGGGTTAATCACGGAGTATATGGAAACGGCATTTAAAGCAATCTTTTCGAGACTAGCGTAGCTGACTTTTACACGCACACATTTGTTACCAAATACACATGGTTTTACTACACGTAAATATTAATTGATATTAGCTACGCGGGCGCATGCGTATACGTAGCTACATGCTACAATCACAGTATTAATGATTTATTATACTATCGTCGTACTTTCATTAACCTACTAAATTTCCAGTCAATCCGATCACTGGAAGGATTGAAATATTAAAACACAGTCATCATAAAAATCTTTATTCTCCCTGAAATATGATTTATTTGTTCAACAATTACCTCTTTCTGAACTGACTGACCATGACCACACCGATAGCGTCGACGAGCTCATCAAGAAAATGAAGATACTTATTTCCGAAGGCGAAGAAACGTATCATTTGCTTCATGAAAACTTGACGAAAAATAACTGACAATGCTTCAGAAATGTTCTCACATTTAGATGTGGTCTATAATTTGCGATTCTTAGTTTCATGTCATATATTACCTGATTAACCAAATGATTTATTTCTTAATGAATTTTTCGGTTGTTATTCATATGTATATAATTTAATGTGATGTCATGAAATGCCTATAGCAAATAGTGCTACATTTAGTAGGTACCCAGCTTTTACTGCCTGTTGCTTCAACCCATTTTCTCCTTTGAAAGGGATCCGCGGGAAACTAAAAAAACGATACAAAAACTGCAAATGTAAATCATGCCTGTGGTAAAACTAAGAATTCAAGCGGACGAAAGTGAGAGCAAGTAGGGAGATAGGAATCATGTAGATAAGGGAAAGAAAATCTCCAATCTCATAAAGTCTTCATTTGACACTCCATGAACTTACGTGCATTGTAAAATTATCGACACTGTACCTCTTCTATCTATATTTCCTTTTTTTCCATTAATATATCGTTTTTACTTAAATTCAAAATTTAAAAAACTATTGCTAGTGTTAGGACCAAACATTTAAGTAATCAAAATTGTTAACTTTTAAATACCTGTAAACAATTTATGTTTACACATTGGTACAGCATGATAAAAAAAAATGTTGAACTAAACCAAACCCGGGTTTCTCAATACCGATAATTTGATTACAACACGCGGAGCCAGTACCAAGTGTAATACAACACTAGTGCAAGCAATTCATTGAGCGTCATTAAAATTATTCTTTTGACGGCGGCGATGGCTAGCAACCAATGTATATTATTATTACCGAGTTGTAAGAAAATAGTTTTGTTTCGAAATTATAGTATTATATTGTTGAAAATATTAGAAAATTCAGAGTTTTAGTACTTACCGATGAAATGAAATCACTCCCGGAGTATTTTGGCTTCTTACACGACATGATATAATTGCACAATTCGTAAAAATGTTTCTATTTTTTTCCACAAAATAATCATATATCACATTTGAACGACGACTGACGGGCTGTTGACACTCATATGCCCGTCTGGTGATAAACTAGGTAACGCGGACCCCGCCCACTAACCAGTCTATTACTAGTATTTATGTGGTCTGTGAACTCAACCTAACTAGGATTTTAGTTACAATAAAAGTTACAATTTTATAGCTAGGGTTTAGCTAGGATACCCAAATAGCTGGGATAGGTAATGAGTAAACATATTTGAATTGTTTGCTTAGGGTGTAACCATAATCTGTCCTTTCGGATAGGTTTTTGGCAGATGAAAGCCATAGCCTGCTCTGTAGTTATGTTCGTTGGTAGGGTAATAACTTCCGAGCAGTGTGTGTCTAGCTTATAATAAAGGCTAATCACATGTGTAAGTTTGCCTATCATAGGTAGGGCACTAGCTAGGGATGTTCCCCCTTCAGTTCTAAGGAGGAGGGATGTAGACTAGGCAGTATTATTTGTATTGGAACTGGCTGAATAAAGGTTTTATATTTAGAATTGTATAAAGAATGGAAGGTTGTTGTCAAAGGGTCAAGATACGAGTTCTGGACAAAGCTTTCAAATTGAATACACGTAGTAAAGTTTTATTTATGAATATAATCCTCGTTTCTCATTGAAATGAGCCTCTCGCTACGCTTACCCACGACTACGTACTTACAGTACTCAAGTTGTTTTACTCAACAAGTTTAGGTATGTACTCAGTTTAGATATGAACGATTTTATATCTTAACTCGGTCTTAGGATCGAGTTAAGTCGCACTTGTATAAAACCAGTCTTTAACTGTCTTAAGTCTGACTTGGAAATATTTTAACATTTTTATCAATGTGTTATTTGCGTTTTCTCTTGGGTTGCTCGTACATTTTTTTATTTTACGTATTTACTTATCTTTTTTTGGTTTATAAATGTGTATTACATTATTTCAAAAATGGACGACTTTGAGGCCTTCATGGCAGATTATCTGGGGAACGAAGATGATTACCGTGGTGTAAGAGCACCTAAATTTGAGGGCTCCTGGCAATATCTTGGAAGTACTGGATGACGAACAGTTTTTCAGCCGATACAGATATGAAAATTCTTCTCATTAAGTAGGAAAGTAATATGAAGTAGGAACTATTTGATATTTATGAGTATTATAAAAGATTCAAATACCACTGTGGGGAAACTGCACCACGTGACCAATCCTCTTGATACTTTTTCTACATAGTTCACAATGTCAAAATACTTCTATAATCCTTGTATCAATAATGAAAAAATAAATATCAAAACTTATAGGTTTATAAGAACCCAGTTATGTACCTACTTAACTTTGACTTTCTCATTTCACTAAGATTCAGTAAAGTACAATGGAACCATTTATTCTGTTCCTGCACTTACTTGAAGTTTCATACTTATTTCAACAAACAGTTCAACACATTGTAATATATAGAAATAATTCGTACCCCTACAGCAAGATACAATAAAACAGAGTGAGATAACTCTGATTATCATTGGTTTTCATCTTCATGTTCCAGATTGATGAATTAGTTGTAAACACCATTTTCCCATTAGTGCAAGTTCAGCCATAATAATTAATTAATTAATATATTTAAAACCGAATACAAAAAATCAATATTGTTTAAACTTTTTTTGTATAATATCAAGTGACAGGACGAACAGTCGTGCACCTGATGGTAAGCTACACGCCCGTCCATAACAGTTGCAGTGCCACTTACAAGTCCAATTTGCCTGCAATTTCACCAGCACCCTTACCCTTCAAAACCGGAACACAGTAATACTGACATCACTGTTTGGGGGTAGAAATAGATAAGGTGGCAGTACTACCCTAGACGAACTCTTTCACAAGGAGCCCTGACTTAAGTATTAAAACGAATAAGTCAAAACAGATTGTTGAATTTTTTATTCTTTCCGTTGAAGAAAAAGGCAAAAGTAATTGTTTGTTAACTGCGACAAACAAAAGTCGAAACTACAAAACATTTTCAAAAATCATTGGCTACCGGCTTCAAAGTAAAACTTGAGACTGACCTTGGTTAAGAGCAAGCGAAAAAATGTTCTTATATATCAAATAATACCAAGCTTAACTTAAGCAATAATTTCAAAAAATTTAAAATACAAAACTTAAGCAATAATTTCAGTCAAGTCGATTTTAGTCAAGAATTTTCTCTAAATGCGACTTCTGTTTTGTTCATAAATACGGGTGACAATTTGTCTTAAATTTTGATACTCGTCTATAGTATTACATGCCTAATATCATATAGTGACATTACTTCATTACTTACATAACGATAATAAAAGTTCTCTTCTAGTTTTTTAATAAGGTTGAGGTATTTCGGAAATCAAACAAATCTGTACTTTTATAAAATTTGAAATTCTGCATATTGAAATATTTAGTAGGTACAAAAACAATCAATCGATACAAAAACATCGGATACTATTATAAAATAAATCATAAATAACTCAATCAAAATCAACGTTCAATCAATTTGTTACTCGTATTTCAGCAAACCCCATTCTTCTCCTGGCGTTCCATAAAAATATAGATCCCAATTAACACCAGGAAGTTCTTCATCAGGAAGATACCATTCGTAATAAAAGTATCTATATCTATTTTTGTCATGTATGTACGTTATGACAGGTGTACACATTTGGAAGTTGTAAGCAGTGCTTCGAAACATATCTTCTTCGTAGAACGTGCCTCTAATTCTAATACAAGTTGGCACTTTAGGTATCTCTAGCCACCCCTGAAAAGTAAGGATACTTTTAACAGAATATTTTAAGGACACCACCGACTACTGGAGAAAAGCGTTAGCCCATGTACAAATAGTAGGATTATATTATTTTAAGAAAGATTTTCTAGTCCTACCTTCCATTACAAAATAAAATTAAGAAAAAAAACTTAAATGAGTATTCTAGAAATACAATTAACAATAAAGCAACGTATACATTACAAATACAGTCGTAATGAGAATAATATTATTACAAGTTATTCACGTAATTTATGCGATTAAACGATAACCAAATACTATTTATTCACCTAATATAGAATACGAACTTACGTACCTACATTCAAGTTTATAAAAAAGTATTATAATGCTTTTACATATAGTTGTTTTATTATGGGACGAATAAGTAGTATGCCTGGCGATAAGGGACACAGCTATCCATGACAGATACAGTGCCACTAAGAACTTTAAATCGCAAGATCCGAAGAGCACAGCAACTGCGGCCGTCACCCTGAGACATAAAGTTGACAGGTCCCGTGTGCTTGTGTAATTTCACCACCCTTGGAGTGGTTACACACGACGACTTTTAGCAACGATGCAGCTACGCGTTCGTGAAATGCACGATTACATCGCTACAATTGCGATTTATAGGCGATTGCATCGATACAAACGCGCGATTGCATCGATACAGTCGCTTATATTGAATCATTATATACGAAAAATTTTATAAGTTTATGCACATTGTCTAGTTTTGTTAATTGTAAATTTAAAAGGGAAATTAATAAATACATTAAATAAATAAATTAGTTAATTAATGTAAAACGTGCATCGGTTTTGTATCGCATTTGCATCCCGTTTATATGGCGTTTGCATCGCTGCTTAAATTTGCTTAAAGTGAATATACGTAAGCATGAAAGATATATTTTTTTTTATTATTATATTTTTATTATATATATTTCAATAACTTACTCTGACAATTGACTTTTTCACGACATCTTCGTTAGTAAGGTGGACATGTGTGTAATATACGATTTTGTAATTTGGCCGACATTGACCGTAGATAAATTCTGTATTTGTCTCTATTAACAAAAAAATACTTGTAATGTTTACCAAAACATTTAATGTCAAAACTTGATTCTTATTAAATTGATAAAATAATGAGCTTTTAAATTTGTAAGATATTCGCACCAATTACGTGCTAAACTAAGTTATTCGCTGGATTGTCACATTTGGCTTAAGTTAGAATAGTTTTCCTAATTAAATTCTTCATTTTTTTCTAACTTGTACTTTACCAAAAGTCAAGGGTATCCACCACAAAAGGCACAACGCTGTAGCACGGGCTGAAGTTGGCGTATTTGAGCTTTTAACGGGTCTCGGCTGTTTTGGCGGAGCCCACACAATCCATAGTCGCAATAATATCGACCTCTATGGTCCAACAATTTGCACTGTGGGCACTGGATGAGGAGGTTGTGGGTTCGATTCCCGGAAGGAACAATTTAGGAAAGGAACTTTTCTAAATTACATATGACAAATACTGATGAACTTTTGACGTTTGGCGAAACAAGGCATAGTATCCAGAGCCGTAAAAGCTATTTAAAAAGATCCGATGACAATGAGACAAGTACATAAGAGCCAAATATTTAATAAATTACAAATTTAGCATTTTATTAACTGGGGTACAGAGCTTACCGGTTCCATTTTTAGTAGTTCTTAAATCACTTAAAGAGTCAAAAAATTGCCAGCAATCACTGAGTGGAACTGTAAAAGGGTGTTAGAAAAACATGTTATTTATACGTCTCTAATACATGAACGAAACGAATATAAAGATGACAGTTTCTTTTGGACCCCATATTGAAAGGGGAATAGATAATAGATGTTCGTATTGTTAATGGCGTCTTATTTTTGTTTAAATTCACATACGAAGAAATAATATATGGCAATATCAACAATTTCAAGATCTCGTTAATAACATCTCTTATCACCAGTTACAGTTTCTCTATAAAGTTGAAACATTCCTTTGTTACGCACAAATTACCAAGTCACATTAAATACTAGGAGAGGAAATCAAATTCCTACACAACCTAAATTGGGTTAAGCCTAAAAAATTATAACCAAATTATCAGAATTATTTTAGAACAGTTTCGGTCCAATCGCTTCAATTTAATTACTTTTTATGCACTGACAAAAGTTCTAATACCATCTAAGCATTACACAGCCTACACAAAATGATCATACGCCTGGTGGAGTTACGTCTTAACTAGACAACTAGTTACTTTATTAACAGGCCCGGGCAATCAGGTACCACATACTATGCAGTCTGAGAAACTAGTACCCACCAAATTCACTGATTCATTTTGATTTCATCGATTCTTGAACTATATAATATAAATGTTAATTTAAACTGTCAGATTTTAATTAATAAATACACAAAGTATACATACGTGGAAAAATACATAAAAGCACTGCACAGTGGTTTAAATCGAACATTTCGTGATATCAATCGATATAAATTAGCAAATTATTAGAAACAAGAAAGTATCCCAAATTAACGTGTGAAATAACTTCGATGGACGTTCTAGAAAGACTATGCAACATCTGTGAATGTTCTCCAGTTTTATAGCTCTCAAATTTTGTTTATATTTAGTTTATTATATTTATTATTTATTAACATTGCATAATTAACGATTAATAGATGAGCGATTGTTTATAAATACGTTTCTTGTTGCTTATTTTCCATAAACAAATAACAGAATATGATTCACAAATTGTTAAATAAATAAAATGCAAAGTGACGCAAAAATATGCGAAATTTTAAAGGGATGATTCAATTAATGAGTATGTACAATTTTTGCCGTGGAGAATCCTCTGAAATCGCACGAAAAAACGCTTCTGACATTTCCTTTCAAGCACAAACAAATGTACCTATTACAAAAAGAAAGTGTATTACTATCTAGGTACGAATTAACATGAAAGTATCGTGAAAGGTACAGTTTGTAACATCACTAAACAAAAATAAACAATTTAATACTTAATAAATAATATTTGTATCACAATACGTAGCTGTCTTGACTTAGTTCCATGTTTTTTTTTTCGAATTACCAAGACATTCTAATGGGACCAAAGAAATAAAGGTCCCAGCTCATACCACCAGACATGTCTTCAGGAATGTACCACTCGTAATAATAAAAAGAAATTCGTTTTTGAGTGTGACAGTATGATACCCTAGGAACGCACATTTGGAAGTTGTAGGCCGTACTTCTAAACAGGTCTTCTTCATAGGAAGTTGCTCTGATCTTAATGCAGGTAGG